TACAGAAGCAGAGCTGAGCAGTGTCCTGGTGGGATGGAATCCGTGCCACTGGGCTGACTAACATCCATGGGGAGTGGGTGATCCATCTCTCCTTGTTAGGCATTTGCTGGTAACAGCCAAGCCCTGGAAGATGGTCAGAAGATAACCATCTCTGTGGGAGTGCGTGGCAGGGTGTTTGTTTCCTGCAGTGCTCTCTTCATTGCTTCCGCTCCTGGCACCATGAGCATCAGTGGTGTGGAATGCTCCAGCAGGTTTTCCCTGCAGCACGTAGGGAATGACAAGAAATGGGTCAGACATGGATTTTAACATCAATGTGACCCACGTGCCCCTCTGAGAGCACTTTTGTCCCATGTTACTGCGCTGTGGCAGAGATGAAGGGCTCCAGGGTCAGCTTTTCTCTGGTGTCTCGGTCCTCATTTCTGCTAGATGTGAAGTGTGGGTGACATCCTGGGAAAACATGGGTGCATCAGGCTTGGGGACCAAGGAGCCAGGCTTCAAGAGCTGGTCTCTGGGCTTGGTGGATTAGGGTAGTGTGATGTTGAGTAGAAAACTTTCCAAGGTGATGTCTTTCTGGAAATCCCTGTTGCAAGAGGCCTGAGACAGTGAAAGCTGGGAACTAGTTGTGAAAGTGTTTTCAGCATCATCCTGTGTTTGCCTCTGTGCCCCCGTGTAACCTCATGTCAGGACTTCCTCCCTGTGCACGAGGAAGATGAATTGCATTTGGTGTTTTTGGGGTTGCCCCGTCTTTCCCGTCTCTGCTCATTGCTCCCCGCTCTCCCCTCAGTGGCTCCTAAAATTCTGATAGGAAAGGCTGCTTCACTTGAACACATTCCCTTTTCCCTTGCATCCCAAACACAGGAGCATTTAGAAGCTGAAAGTAAAGCTGATTATAACCAGACCTCACCGAGCTTTGTTATCCCCCGAGAGGAGGGCAGAAAGACGCCCGACTGGATTTGTAATCACTTAGGATGTGACTAACAGCACGAGCCAGCCAGAAACCTCCCCGTGCAGCAACTCTGTTGGAAAACATCAATTTGTCAAAGCTAAAAGCTTCCATGGGAATCATGTACGCTGTTTTGTTCAGGAATAGTTGGGGGTTTTTTGGGTCCAAGATGAAATTTCTGGTCAAAACAAGAAACCCAAAGACATCCCCCTCTACCCCAAAGTAGTCGGATGGTCAGTCCAGCTGCTGGCACAGATGTTTGGGGCAAGGAAACTGGTTTTAGCAGCAACCACTGTGACTTCTTGATGCCCATCAAACCCATCAGGCTCTCCAGCTGGGAGACAGGCTCACCACATGTGCAGAGTGGCTCCAGTTCCTTGGGGATGTGTGAGCTTCTCACATGCTCAGACTCCCATTCATCCAACACCTGGGTGCAGCACACCATGCTTCCCAAACCTCCCACTCCTCCCCAGATGGGTTTGGGCAGGATCCAGAGGCTGGAAGTCCTGCTTTGGCCCCTGCTGATCTGAGTCTCAGGAGCTCCTTGTCTGGGAGTCCGGGCTCAGGTTTGTTGGGAAAACTTGGACCTTTCCTCCCTGCTGGGGTGGATGATTTCCAGGAGGGAAAAGGTGCCGAGTTTGCAGTGGGCACCAAGGGATCTGTCACCAGACCCTGCATCAAAGAGCTCCCCACTTATTCCCGTGCCACAGTCACCTCCAGAGAGCTCCTAAACAGGAAACTGCTTCAAACCAGAGCCCCCCCTGCTGCCATTCCTGCGAGTGAGGCCCCTCCGAGAGGGTTGTGCCGTCTCTGCTCTGGCTGTTGTCCTCTGTTGTTTTCTCTCCGTAGTAACATGCCAGTAGCTCCCTGGGGAACAAGGCCAGCCCGTGGCTGCAGCCTGGGATGCACGAGCTCCTCGGGACGTCTTGTCCTCTCAGCTCACCCCACACAGAGCTTCTGCTTTCCTTTTTTTTTTTTCCCCACTTTTTGGCTCAGCAGCAGATGAGCCGAGCTGCCTCCTGCCTCTGGCTTTCCTATGTCTGAGAGTGGGAAATGGGGCCTGGCTCTGTTCCCTCCCCTTGCTCTCGGGGAATGGTTTTGCAGCAGTGTCCTAAGGAGGCTGGAGCGCAGGGGCTGCTCCAAAGGTTGGAGCACAGAAGGCCAGGCCCCTGCCCTGCTCCAGTCCTGGGCACACAAAGGTGTATCGTGGGCTGGGGCCAGCACAGAGGGACAGGGAGAAGGGCAAAGGGCTGACAGATACTTTGTGTATGCCAGGAGAGGGGGTCAGCGAAGGATGGGCTGGAACAGGATGCTTGTATCTTCCCAGATGCCTGATGTGTCCCTTGCTCAGCTCAGGTTGGGGCTGGGCTCTCTGCTTGTTCCCCTCAGGCTCATGAGCCACCCAGCCTGGGGACTTATGTCTGGTGTCACAGCTGAGCCTGTGTCACAGGGGCCTCTGCTGCCCCTGCTTGGATGGGAGCTCCGTGCCACTGGTCCTGGTGGAAACCCTCCATGGAGAGCAAGTTTAGACCTGGTCTCTTGCCCAGCTCCTGGAAAAGCTTCCCCTTCCCTGTGCACTTTGTGATTTGAGCAAGGGATTGGGGAGAACAGGGCACCAGCTGTGCTGCCATTGCTGCAGCCTCCTCCTGCTCCTGCTCTGGCTGTGCTGATTTGCATTGACTCAACTTCCTCGCTGTGGCCTCGCAGGGGAGTGTCAGCGAGTCAAACACCAGGGTCAGGCTCACAGGCACCTCTGGGGCTGGCTGAGACCTGAGCCTGCTTTGCCAAGCTCTGTCTGTGCAGGCTGATAAAACCCCTGTCCCAAAGTCCAAGGGGAAGAGGCAGGTGGGAGGCCGGCACACGGTGTCTCTTATGCCTCGTTTTTGTGGGGTTTCTGCTTGTGTGCCCTGTCTTTGAGGGCGAATGCAGCAAACTGCGGCTGGGTACTCCCATGAAGGGTCAGCACTGCTTCCAGCTACCCCAGCTTTCCTGGGAGCAGCCCCCCGTGTCCAGGACTGGCTTCTTCCAAGCCATCGCTGTCACCTGCAGGGCCCACACCAAACCCTGTGGCACCAGTGTCCCTGGTTTCATGCTCTGTGTGGCTCAGGGTCCCATCACTGAGGTGAGCACGTACAGATGTGGTTATGTACTTGGCTGAACTGGGATGTTTTTCTGAACTGGGACTGGTTTCCTGGAGCACTGACAGCACTGGCTTTCTCTGCAGAGCTGGTTGTAAAATCATTTGGACTCTGTGTGTGTTCGTCTGTGTGCTGGTGGCACCCTGCAGCTCCTGTCCTGGCTGGGGATTTGTGGTGCTGCTGTGCTACAGGGAATATCAAGGAAAAGCCTGCCCAGGCCAGATCTGAGATCCTCTAAACACTGATCATCCTCTGCTTTAAAATGCATTTTTGTGTGTGATACTTCTAAACAGATCATCTAGAAAAAAAGTATATTTTAGGAAAAATAAAGACCTTTTGCTCTGTCACCAATTTAGTTTTAAATCTCTCAAAGCTTCAGGCAGAGGCTATGGAAAGTTTTGGCCTGGGGGGAGAGTGGGGTGGAAGGGCTGGAGCGTGTGAAAGCCGCCGTTATAAGATCATTTTACAGCCTTTGGCACTGCCAGCTCTGCCCTTGCCACCCCTGGGAGAGCTGCCACCAAATATGCTGTGAGGGTGAGGGCACCTGGCTTTGCTCATGCCCCGACCTGGGTGGGTTCCTCTCGAGTGAGACAGGTCTGTGCTGCTGGGGAAGAGCTTCACCTGCTCCCATGGCTTTTTTTGGGTGTCTGGATCCATATGGAGAAACGCTGCTCTTCTCCCTTTTTTTCTGTCTGGGGAGTCTAAAACAGCTTTGCTTTTTGGTGAACTAGAGGCTGAGAGGGGCAGGACTGATGCCTATAAATACTTGGGGGAACGGCAGGGAGGGAAATTATTTATGTCCACCCAAGAACAATGTTGGCATAAGAACGAGCGGGTACAAACCAGCAGGAATAAACTCGGGCTGGAAATGCAAAGGTTTCCATCCGACGTCGGAGAATCGAGTGTCTGCATAAAAGGAGCAGGAACAAAAACTTGAGCTGCTTCTCTTGAAACACAAAATTCCAATGGGCTTATTTCTAGTGCATCTTGAATGCAGGGATGAGGTGAACTGGGCTGCAGTTGTCAGCTGAAATGCAATGACATATGTACTGAGCTCAGCTAAAGCAAACAGTGAATGGAAGTGGACATTGCAGCCCTTCAGCCTCCAAAAACCATTGAAGGGAAAGGTTCCACTATTTTAAGTGAGCTTGTCTCTTGATTGGGGAATTGTATTTCTGAAATTCACTTTTAAATCCAGAAACTGTCTAGAAATGAAGTGTTTGGTTTTGCATCAAAGGCAGAAGCTCAGGTTCTGCAGATGAAGTCAGAGAGGTGTTATGAGCTCTCCTCTGATTCACATGTGTGCTGAAACTTCTTTCCTGTAACTGAGCTACTGTGAGAAAGGTCAGGGTGTTGAAACAGGAAACCTGTGTGTGTACATGTGAATTTGTGTGCACAACCCCCCTTGCACACCTGTGTGCACTTTCCTGTGTGTTTGTGGGATTTATCTCTCCAGCATCTTCCCCAAAACATGTCTAGGCAATGCTGCAACACCAGACCAAGGAGTCTTGTCCTCTTTTATGTGCCACAACAAAAAACTCTGTGCTGGAGGAGAAAGGAATTGTTTTTCCCCCTCCTGTTTTTTGCACTCTCCCTCACATCAACACATCCCACCCCTCCCCACAGCTGCTTTCCTACCCTAAACGTGTTGTGTGTTGTGTTGGCATCAGCAATTCAGGGCTGGGTAGGAAACTTGCCTCTGCTCCAGGGGCTTGGAAAGGCTGAGCAGAGCTGGCTCTTCTCACACCTTTGGGGGACCAAGGAGGACACATCCAGGTGTCACTGAAAGCAAAGTCTCCCGCTCAGCACAGCCATTCCCGTGGGCACGAGGGCTGTTGTAACAATCCCAAAGCTGCCCATCGCCTGCTGTGGGCTCCCAGGAGACCTCCCAGTCCTCACCCCTCTCTCACACCCCCCAGGTTGCCATGACAAGGCAGTGCTGCTCTACGAGTACGTGGGGAAGCGGATCGTGGACTTGCAGCACACGGAAGTGCCGGATGCCTATCGAGGGAGAGGAATAGCCAAGCACCTGGCCAAGGTACAGCCCCAAACACCCAGAAGGACATCCCAGCTGTGGGTAGAGATCCTGGCTGAAGCCAGGCCCCATCACGTTGGAATTGCATGGGAGACCTGCTCCAATGGGAGATGGGGTGGCTGGTGGGGCAGACGGAAATCTGGGGTCAGACATTCCTGTTTTGGTGGCGAGAGTGCTTGGCCCATTCCTTCTTGTGCCCACTGTGCAGGGGCTGATGGATCACCTCAGCTGGGGGCTGGACCCCTCCTCTCAAACCTTCACTGCCCCTGTGAGCCCTCTGCCTGCCTTGGGTCCTGCAGCCATGCAGGGAGAGCTGAGGAGCCACGAGGGAATGTGGGGTGATATTTTGGGGTTACAGCTGCTCCTGGCCCTGTAGGTCAGGGCAAATGGGTGGCATGATGGGCTAGGTCACCTGCCATGCAGCATCCACCAGGCTGGATGTGTTGAGGGTTAAACTGGGAACCCTGTGCTGTGCTCTCCCCACAACCCTCTCCCTCCACCTGCCTCACACAGGGGGTACCTGAGGGCAACCCCTCTGTCTGAGGGGTACAGGAGTCCAGACCCCCGTGAGGCTTCAGAGGAGAGCGTAGGCTGGGGATGGAGGTTGTAACCTGTGTGTTTTCTCTGGTTGGTCACAGGCAGCCCTGGACTTCGTGGTGGAGGAGGACCTGAAAGCTCACCTGACTTGCTGGTACATTCAGAAATACGTCAAGGAGAACCCGCTGCCGCAGTACCTGGAACACTTGCAGCCTTAAGGCAGGACTGCTCCGACACCAGCACACCTGTCCCTGACTGTCCAACGCGGCCTTCGCTTCTCTGCGGTCTCAGGAAACCCCCTCCCACACTCGCAACTCCCGTTTTTTTAAGCGTGTCCATGTGGTGTGTGAGTGTGGGCACGACCTCCTGCTCCCTGCCCACGTGTGAGCATGGCTACAGCCCCTGGGCCAGGCTGGCTCTGGGCACACGTGGCATCCCCCAGTGCTTTTCCCAAGCCAGGGGGTGGAAGGGGATGATTTTTCCACCAAACTCCATCACAAGACCAGGGGATGACTTGTGCTGCACCTCATCCTCCCTGCTCCGCTTGGCGACAACTGTGAACTTGCTGGGGGATGTTGGTTAGGGGTGGTCGTGGGGCACCAGCCCCCCTTTCCTTCTGGGAGCTGGGGGAGATGCTGTAGATTAAGCTTTGTGGAACAGAGGGAGGTGCTGGAGGAGCCCCAGCCCTGAGGCAGGTTCATCCCCTCCAGCCTCTGTTGAGCTGTGTCCAAGCCCATGTGGAGTACGGATGAGAACACATGGACCATGGTGGCACCTCGGGGGCTTTGCTGCACCAGCTGTGGAGACACTAGGATGGTGACACCTGTGAGGCAAGGGACAGGAGCCTTGTGAGGAGCACACTTCAGCTGCAGGGGCTGTGGTAGAGTCTGTGCAGAGGAAGAAAGGTGGCTGAGCTGCAGATGCTGCTCCCCAGAGATTCCAGCTCCTGCCCAGCCTTCTGTTCACAACCCCAGCATGGCATCCCACAGGATCACGGGCCATCATTCCTGTCTCTGCCCCCTGCCATCGGTGCTGCCCATGCTGGTGTGGACACAGCCTGCTCAGGAGAAGAGACCAGCCCCCACAGCCAGCCCTGGCCTGAGCAATGAGGGGACATCCCAGGGCACCAAGGTGGTTTCCTGCAGCTGAAGAGGAAGGCTCCCCCCATCTCCCTCAACTCCAGCTCTGCATCCCCATCTGAGCCCCAGATCAGAGCCGTCTTCCCATCCTGAGAGCAACAGGCCTCCAGGACCTGCTCCTGGCCCATCTCCTGGAGCCACCTGCCTCCACGTGGATGCTCCTTACAGCCTTTGGAAAGAAGCCCTGGCTCAGGGCATTACCTCTCTGCTCAGCTCCAGGCTCAGGTGCTGGCAGCACTGTGGTGTCCTCAGCTAGCAGCAGGAACACCCTCATTTCGTGCTGTTCCCTCCATGGACAAGGACCCTGTAGCACAGCCCAGTGTTGCCACAGTTGGATATACAGGTAACACCATGATGGCAGGGCACTGCCTGGTTCCATCTTGCTGCCTGTCCTGCCTTGCCTGGGTTTTACAGGGCATGAGCTACACCCCAGAGCATCTCCCACCGAGCTCTCGGGATTTTGCAGCGTCCCAGGGCAGGGATGTGGTGTGGGAGATGATGCTTCTGACACCCCCAGCCCTGAGCAGCCACTGGGGGCTGCAGCCAGGCAGAAGGAAATGGAGAGCCTTTCACCTGGAGGCCAAATCCAGACCTAGCTTAGCTCAGCAGGAACTAAAGTTTACAATCTGTGCCACGGAGTGACTGAAGCCCCAAGCGAGGCAGCTCAGCCCTCTCTCAGAGCCCAGCACAAAGCCCATGGTGGCAACGGCAAAACTCCTCCAGCCTTCTCTACTGGTTGGGATGGTCAGAGATGGAGACCTTGTGGCTGATCTCCGCCAGGGAGGCCCTGAGCTGTTCTTCCTGGTCACCAGCTCAAGGCAAAGCCCTGCTGCCTGCCCGTGCTCTTGGGCTGCCCATCACCAGCGTAACACGGCCCTCTCAGGCTTGAGTAAAACCTCCTAGACTCCATCCCTTCCCTGCACAGGGCTGTGAGACCCCTGCCCATGCCCACCTCCTGCCTGGGGAAGGACCTGTGCCCGGCAGCAGACCCACCTCTGCCTCGTGCTGCTCAGGAAAGGCCTTGGGCTCAGCCCTGCTGCCGCCTTGCTGCTTATTCCACCTGGGCTGTGACCTTCAGGATGGCTTTGAGGGATTGGGAAAGGGTTGCAGTTAGCAAACTAAAGGGGTTCAAGAAGAAATCTGGGCTGCTAAGTGTTCCTTCTTTAACATGCAAAACACACTTCAACAGGAGCAAGGCTGGTTCTGGTACAGCCGTGACGACAGAACCGTCCCTGCTCTTGATCCCAAGGTGAAGCTGAACCGTCTCCTCCGCTGCAAGCCAAGATAAGACACTGTTGTGTCTGTCACAGCAGGGCTGGGTGCTTGGGAGAGATGTGTGTCTGGCTGCCTCACGTGAGCCTCTGCGAGCCTCTGCCCTGGTTTTGTGCTCATTTCCACTGTGTGGCAGTTCCCAGAAGTTCTCCGTTGTGTCAGCTCACTGCAGGCTGTGCTGTGGTCACTGCACCAGCAGTGGCCTGGCGTCCAAGCCTGGCTCTGGAGCCCTTTGTGCTGCTCTGACAGGAACCTCGTGCTTCCCAGCGCTGGATCACAAGTGGCAGTCACTGCCTTAAATCAGGCACAGCACATGGTTTTGCTGCTGCTTCCCTTCGAGGTGCTACAACCCCTCCAGTGTCTGACCCGACGGAGTTGTGTGCCAGTGTCCGTGCCAACCGTTTCTCTGCTGTATCCATCCTCTGCCTTCCCTTCCCTGTGGTCCTTGATGCCGGTGAATAGCAATACCCACAGGTCACCAGCGATGCCACAGTCCATGGCACTCCTGGGATCCTGCACTGATGGGCAGGAGATGGCTCGGGATCCCTCAGTGCTGGGCAGCCCTTCCCTGCCTCCCCACCAGCTGCCCTTTCCCAGCTGGTCTCTGCAGAAAGGAGCTTTGAGTCCTCTGCTGCCCCTTGGTGCTCACTAAGCCTGGAGGAGTCGGGGAATTTTGAACTCTCCCTGGCAACAGGAGTGTGGAAAGTGGTTTGGTTGAATATTGAGGTCCCCAAACCCATTTGAACTACAGACCTTGGTGGGTGGGGGAATGCAGGTTGCTGTCAAACCTGCTTCCACAGCACCCGACTTGAAACCCCCCTCCCTCATCCGCTCTCCAACGTTGTCTTCCTCTGTCCCAGGTTTCTGTTCTGTTGGATTCGGTGGTTACGATGTGCCTTTCCTTCTCAGGACCTGTTACAAATGACCTTTCTGCTCTTGTTTATGTTTAACATTTTATCTTTATCCCTCCCTCTGTCATACTATAAGACATGAACATAATGCATGGAATACAATACAATAAAAGTGTGGCTTAACTGACCCGCAGTGGCTGTGCCATGCTGGGGGGAGGCAGGAGGAGGTGCCCATGGAACCAGGGGGCATTGGGCACCCTCAGCTCTGTCACCTCTGGGCTGGGTCCTGTCAGCTGAGAGTCTGTTTCCTTTGCCAGCTGATGCTCATCAGCCCTCCTTGGAATTTCAGGCCACTCTTTGGGAGTTATCCTGCAAATGCAGCCTCTGGTGAACAGTCACTCGGTGCTTGTGTCTGGTTTTTTAAGATGTTTGAAAACATTAAGGTGAGAAAATATTTAAATATCCAGCTGCTGTGCTTGTCCAGAGCAAGGCGGGCAGGCAGGTGACTCCAAGGGACACAAGGCACTTCCCTCCTGGAGCCAGCACTCCTCAGCCTTGGGAGCACAACCCGAGCACCCAGGGTCCAGCACAGCGTTTGTGCCACTTCCTAACGCTGAGTGCCAGCTTCAGAGGCTGGAGTTTGGGTAACTCAACGTGCTAGGGAGGGTGGTGTGGAGAAGGGGCCCAGCTTATTTACAGTTATAATTTGATCCGAAGTGACAAGTGCCCCGGGGCTGCAGCTCGAGCGGGCGGGGCAGGGTTTGCTGCTCCCCAGGGACAGCGCGGTAGGTTTGGGGCTGTAGCCGGGCTGTTGCTGGTAACACACTCTGTTTACATTCCACATTCCAGACAGTCCATGCTCCGGCCTGTCCCAGCAGTGCTGCACGTTCTGCCGGGCTGGGCACGCTTCCCAAACACCTCTTGTTCCTGCAAATGCGCCCTTAACCTCCAGCAAAACAGCTGCCCCCCCCACTTACAGCTGAACTGCAGCGGTGTGGGAGGGCCCTGCAGGCTGGAAGAGCAGCCTCGGGATCGCTGGGAAGGTGGAGGCAGGCAGGAGTTTGTTCTCTTGTCACATTGCATCACTTGGGAATAACGCTGACAAAAAGAGGGGTTTTTCTAGTTCTGGGAGATGCAGAGCCAGCACCACTCTCTCCTGAGAGGTGATGGGATCTGAGGGCACATCTATCCCCAAGAGCAGGGAGGTTGCAGAGCAGGGAGCTGCTGTTTGTTAAGGGAAAACTTAAAACTCCTGAGAAAAAGGCTCCTCTCCTGGGAGGAATCAGACTAGGAGCAAGAGGGGGCCCTGCAGAGGCACAAGGATCCCGGAGATCACTATCCAAGCACCC